GTGGGCAAAGACCCACTTTGTCAGATGCATGCATCTGACAAAGTGGGTCTTTGCCCACGAAAGCTTATGCTCCTACACTTCAGTTAGTCTATAAGGTGCCACAGGACTCCTCAAAGGAGTTAGGCATTATACATTGCACTCCTGTCATTCATTTGCTACCTCTAGTGTTTGAATTTGATATGCTAACATGTTATATGTTATGGGGAATCTCAGATCATGCCTTTTGAGGTATCAAAGCACACCAAAGAATCACATCAAACAACTCCAGTGATACTTCCAACCCCCCTATCTGAGGCAGGGGGAGATTGTCTTTGTATTCCTGAGCGCTATATATGGTAGTAGTAGTGACTGGGTTCTACATCAGGGATCTCAAACTCAATTTACCTAGGGCCAGTGCCAGTCCTCAAATCCTCCTAGCAGGCCAATGGGCACCCCACTCTGGCAGGGCTCATCATCCCTCCTCCTCTTATCATTCCCTTCTCCCATGTGTCTCCCAGTCCTGGCTCTTAGCCTCTACACATACCATCTCCCCTGCACATTCGCAGGTGTCACCTGCCATCCCCAGATTATTTAAAATTCACCGGGGGAGGGAGGAGGTCCCACTGCCACCACCAGGAGCACAGCAGGGCTAGAGTGGTTTCTGGCTGCTAGCTCCATTCTGTAGCCAGCACATCCCTGTGACCTAGGGGAGGTACATACAGAGCCACCCCATACATAGACCTCAGCTATGAAACTATTAACTCATTTTGTGAAACTGACTAAATCAGTGATGCTAATTTTCCTGATTTGATTACAAGCTTGTTGATAATTAGGGCTTTTTTTCCTGCAAAGCTCCAGCCACGTTATTAGAATTAAGCCAGATCTGGAAATTTCTCTACTTGATGCCTCATGCATTACTATCAACTGGGATCACTTGACTATTTGGGTCCTGGGGGCTGCAGTGTGTCCCTCCATGTCCTCCTTCCCTCCCCCCACAAACACTTTGGGCCAGCGCTGTAAGGGCCTTATTAAATAACTTTTTCAAATAATTTTGAGAGCCTGACTGAGGAAGTGCTCAGGCCGTAGATGGCCCCCAGGTTGGGAGTTTGACACCGCTGGTCTATGCCATCTTTGCAGATCCCTCTTTTCTCTTTTTCCTGGAAGTTCTTGCCTCCCAGTCTGATGCTGCTTCCAGGTATTAACTCTATCCTATTTGTTTGACCTTTTGGTTTTCTTCTATTCGATCCACTTTATTTATATTCTTTTTATATTACTTTTATTTAATCTCAGAAGGATAATCAGAGCTGTACAGTATTATGAGCATTTTCACACTGCACTTTTAAGTTATGGACTTTAATTTATATAGTACAATCTCAGAATCACTATCTTCAAAAAAAAATATGTTTCATTTGATAATAAATGGCCAATGATAAATGATACAATGAAACACACAAGCAAGGAATACATAGCTATGTTTGACCAAAAATAGATTGCAGCATTAGTTTTGTCAGTATCAATAATCATTGGTACCATTTCTCTTGCATAATACCTAAGTGCCAAAAAGAACACAGAAAAGAAACTATATATTAATATTTCTGCAAATATGCTTTGAGTATTACTGTACTTGAAAGCAATTTGAAAAATTGTGCTGAAATCTTGAAATGCTGTGAATGTACATTTATTATTTTCCACTTGAGAAGTCTTCACATCATTTTATTTCCAACTTTCATTATTTATTTATAAAATAATTCTCATTATTATTAGTATTAACCTGATCTTGCAATCAGATCTGCACATATGGATCAAATTGCACAATTTGGGAATAAAATGTTATAATTAGTTAAGTGACTGAAAATAGAGGAGTTTACGAAAGATTACAATAGAGTTCTTTTCTTGCCAGCCCTCCCTATACACAATATATAGAGGTTCCAACTTTACGAGCTAGGTTGGTATCTTTATCGACCTTTCACAGGTGGTGAAACTGAGGCACAGAAAAGTAACTTGCCCAAGGTCACAAGCAAGGCAGTGGCAGAACGAGGAATTGAACCAAGGTCTGCTAACATCATTGTCAATGGTTTGATGCCGCTGTTTACAGATTTTGGAGTAATAAATAACAGAATGTCAATGCAAAATACAAATATGGGCCGCAGTCCTACATGTGGCAAAGCAGATCTCCCTGTGGGCATGGGGAGCTGGCTCCGCAGTAGTAGCTGGAGGACTTTAGGGAATGGCGGGAGGTGTTTGTTTTCATATGGTACTTGTGCATACGGGAAAGCTACGGGTACGGGCGTGGGACTAACGAGGAACAGACTATTGTAATGGGGAGGGGAAGCTCTAGAGCAGGGGTGTCCAAACTTTTTTCAAAGAGGGCCAGATTTGATGAAGTGAACATGCGTGAGGGCCGACCATTTTGCCTGACATTCTTTGAACCATTAAAATTAAATGCAAATTAACTATTTTATGCAAAGTTTATTGCAAACGGCAAACGACATAACACCAACTATACATGTTGTGTCCAAATATATTTATAACTGATTTAGACCAACTGACATTAACTGAGATTTTACAATGTATTCATCTCAATTGAAAAAAAAACTTGCCTAAACTAATGTGAAGGGTGAAACTGAGATCTGGACTGCAGTACATAGGCTAGGTCTGGTTCAAAGGCAGTGGTTTTGATGCGCAAAATATCACGCAGGTGAGAGTCATTTAGTCTTGTCCTCACGCGGTTCTTGTTAAAGTTCATAGCAGAGAATGTCTTCTCACACATATATGTTGAGCCAAACAAGCTCAGCATTTTCTTAGCCAATGTTCGAATCTCTTGAAACCGGCTCTTATCCAGTTGGCGGTAAAAGTTCACAAGAGAGAGCTGTTGGTGACGACTGCGTAACTCGCTGTCACAATGCAGCTCAATGAGCTCGAGCTGCAGCTGATCTGGAGCATCATCGGGGTCAACAGAGAATGGAGAGGAGAAAAGGCTGATCTCCTTTTCAATAGCTGCAAAGTCCTGAAAGCGCCGTTTAAACTCCCCAGCCAGAGATGCAATGTCTGCTGCATACCTGCTCGTTTGCGCACTGATATTGAAGCTGTTCCAACAACCCTGCAGCTCCCCAGCAGCCTCTGTCCTCCTATATCCACTTGCAATGAAGTGACACTCGTTTCTCGTCTCCCACTGCCTCTCAGCGGCTGGTTTGCGCGGTGCCGTATTG